ATCCTCATGATGTAAGTGCATTTATCCTGTAACGTTGTAGAGGTTGAGTTATTAAAAAACTCTTAATGAATTTATGTAGCTCTTATTGAATAGGGTGTCATAGTTACAGAAGCACCCTTGACAGAATTCACCTATGTGAGTGTGGTAGTGGGGCCGCTACCTATGAGATTTGGGCTAATTCTCAAACACACTCATGAATCCTGGGATCACACAAGGCCGTAATGTGCTAGCTTTTAAAGCTTTTGTGAACACCTGGAATATTATGTGTGTGCAATAATTATTTATTTCCCTTAAGTAGTCATAGTTCAATGTTGAGCATACTACTGGCTCTGGAGTAAATATTATTGTTTCACTAATGGAAGTTCAATGCAGAGCACACCTACCATGATGCATAATATCCTTATTTGCCTAATAATCTCAGTTTTTGTTACCTATAATATTAAAATAGGTAGGGGAATGTTAGCAGGTATTTTAATATTATAATGATCTTCCGAGCTCCAAGATAAGTCTTTGCCTAGTCTCCCATGCTTATCTTTTCAAGTCTCCTCCAAGTCTATCCTATCTTATCCACCTTGTCTTCCTAGATAAGCTTTCTTGGTCTTGGTCTTGGTCTTGGTCTAGTCTTTTGTTAACTTCTCCACTAAGCTTTCATTTCTATATATATTGAGCTTATCTCCTATCTTGGTATATACGAGAAGAAGTTTTGTTGTTTTGTTATGTCTTGTGTGAGATTATCAGGCAAATAAAAAAGGGTGTGCGTGATAAAGCTTTGGGTTCAACCAATTGTGCAGTATTGGTGAACCATACGACTTAGTCAGGCTGTTGTATCCTGTGGGGGACAAGTCAAGGTTTTTTCTGCTGCACCGGTGTAAGGCTTTGCCTAACCGCAGAGGGCTTGAATCTCCTTAAAGAGAGCGAGTTTCCCGCGCCTTAGCCCTGATAATAAGTTATTGTAATTTTATTATTTTTATTTTCTGGTGTGTTATTTGTAATTATCACCAACATCCTTGTTTGCTATTGATTATGCTTTTGCAAACTTATTCTAGAGGTAGAACTCTGTAATTGTTAGGAGTACAATTTAATGAATTTGATAACAACGATCATACTGTTCTTGAACTCAGCCATCATCTGCATGTATTTTCTGGCCATTTTCTTCTTCTAATATGTGTTTGGAGTTTTATTTGTTTCATTGATGATGTGTCTTTTTTATCTGTTGCAAATTGCAATGTTTAGGCAGTCCTGTTCTTGGATATTTGACTGCTGGCATCTTGATTGGACCTTATGGTCTCTGTATTATTCGTCATGTACATGGAACAAAGGCAATAGGAAATACCTTAAAGTTTATACTCAAGGAAAATTCATTTTAGGACAATCTTGGAGGTTTAGGTCTCCTAAAACTTAATATCCAAAATTTTAGGCACCCAAGACTTTCTATGTGTATTATGCATCTACTAAGGCTGTGTTTGGATCATGGATCACTGATCCAAACACAGCCTAAGAGATGGATTTCCATCATATGAACTTAAAGTAAAAAATTTAGATTTGTTGTTTTCCATTTGGTTGGATTTGTTTGTCAAGAAGGTGCTAATGTATAAATGGATTTGATATCCCAGTTGAGTTTGTAACACTTATTATTATTATTATTGTAAAGCATTCTAGATATTCTTCTACCATCTTTGATTTTGAAAGTGAAGTGCTTTCGTGTATCTTTTTAGGTTTCACAGTGGTAGCCTAAGAGACCTGGACATGAGTACGGACATGGGCATGGAATTTTCAAAAAATTAAGATACGAAGACGGGGTATACGAAATTTTCATATATATATTTTTGTTTGCTATGTATATGAATATTAAGTTAGGGTACAAAGATATGAGAGGCATCGATGTTATATGCGGGTGTAATTTTTTTTTTTTTTTTTTTTCACTTCTCTCCCCCGTTTCCATATATTTACATTGACCCTAAATCAGTTTTCTAAGAGACTTATCCAGACATAGGACATGTGTCTGTGAAGTGTTCCCAACATGTCTTGCAAAAAATAATAATTAATAATTTGACAAGCCACATGGATGTGTCCGATACATAGACATGCCACATGTGTAAGGATAAGGGTTCCGTATGGGAAATTCATCCGATATGTCTTGTTGGACATGCATCAAACAAGAATGTCTGAATGGTTTGAGTTTACTATATCACTATGCATTAGACTTCCATTTCATTCATAAAATGCTCAATTTTTGGTTGCAAATACCATTCTATGAAATACTAAAAAAAAACAAAATAAAAAGAAAATGTTAAATATGAAATCTAGTCATGTTGTGGTGTTCTTGGACATGAGAATTAGATAAATCCGACACCTAGACACATACTTGCACCTACACCCATATCCGAGTTATCCATTATGGATTATCCATTATGCAATGATGATATGCCATATCAATTGTCTTTGATTAGTAGAATGCACCAGCATAAGTACTTAATACTCGTTCAAAAGTATATGAAAGTGATATGGTACTAAATTTATGTCGGTTGAGCATTGCAAGGTCTGAAGATGATGTGGGCTTTATTTAGACCAAGTTACATAGGCCACCAAGATTGGGTGGACCTTGGGTTCTTTTATGTTTAAAGGATCACAGTATTGGAGTGTTGTTGAGAGTCTGATTTTGTGAATGGGAGTTGAAGCAAATCTATGGTGGTGCATTGACATGGAAGCCAGTATTATTGACTGAAATTCACGCTATCATTTTATTCTTTAGGTCTTTTTTTCCCCTTTCGGTTCCTCTTTTCCAACAAATTTTATTTTATTTTATTTATTTATTTTTTGTGAACTTCAACGCATAACAGTAGATAAATAAACTGTGCAAGACTGGTATTCCCACACTAGATAAATAAAATAAAACAATATGAATGGTAACTATTACCATTAGTATTGTTAGCACAAGTAATTGTTTGCTAATTGGCCTTTTTTGCAGGGTATAATGTCTTCTCAGATGTCATCTTTTCTGTTTCTTGTGGTTGGGCTATCAATGGCCCTTACCCCATGGTTAGCTGCTGGAGGCCAGTTACTAGCCTCTCGTTTTGATGATGTGTGGAGTTTGTTCCCTGTAGAGAGTGAGGTAGAATTCATAATTTCAAGTTTTATGAGATCTGAGTGAACATTTATATTGGTGGTTTACAAAATTCAATTCCTTTATTTATTTATTATTTTCCACTAGATAATAATATGTGGTTTATGGGTACTATGTTAGTTATGGATATAATTTGTCAATCAAGATTGGCTTACCGGGTAGCTTAGCTTTCCAAACTCAGCTTGGTTAGGAAAATGGAACCTACATTTTCTAGTGATCATTCTAACTATATAGCATAAGCATTTTTATTAGTTATTGCACCAGAATGTGGGGAAATATTTGTGATGTGCTCTCAAAAGTCTCTCTGTCAACATCATGAAGCGTTTTTAAATTTTGAACCGTGCATGTGTATGAACTTTGTTTTGGTCTTAGGTTTCAACAAACTTGCTGTGCTTGTGTATTTGAGAAATTTTTGGTAAACACTGACTCACTTGCAGTTGGTATTTTGGGTTTAAATTCCTTCTCGAAGTCTTGCCATTTTGAGTTCATGCAAAAATATTTGATGATGATGGATGAAGGTGGTGAATAACCACTGGCTGCCATAAAGTCTCTGCACTAAAATAAATTAGGTCTTGCAATATTTGCATAAGATATGATCCATTATTAAATCAATTCCAATCTCCTGAATCTAGTATGTCCAACTGTACCTAGGATGTACTAAATCTTTATTCAATAATTTTAAATCGTGTATAATAAACTGGTGTAGCCATACATCTGACAATGGGATGCATTGTCTGTTTGTGATATTGGGTTGGTGTTGCCATTACACTGAAATATCCACTAAATGTATTGATTATTGATTTCCTTGGCTTGCTGTTTCCAGACAAATGATTTGCATTACCATATCATTATTTGTGGATTTGGACATGTTGCACTACAACAAAAATGCATTTTAGTGAGACTTTACTAGTGGCATGTTTTTAAAAAATGTCACAAAAAAAATATTTGGTGGCATATTTTAAAAAAATGTCACAGAGCCACAAACATACAAGGCTCTAGTGGCATTTCAATAAAAAAGTGCTACTTCACTACAGCAAAAATGTGACTTAATAGCATCAATTTTATGGCATTTTATAAAAGAATGACACAAGAAATTGTTTTAATGACATTTATCAAAAGATGCCACTAAACTTTAGTAGTAATGGTATTTTTTAAAAATGTCACTAAACTAGAAAAATGTAAGTTACTTTTTATGGCATTAAGTGAAAACTGTCATAAGCAAATATTTTATGGCATTTTAAGAAATGTCACTAAACCAAAAAAATTTCAAGCTATGTAATGTCATTTTTTGAAAAAACAAAAAAATGTCAATATATTTCCAAAATTTTTTAAAATGCATAAAATAAATATAAAAAAATAAATTGAACTCAATCTAACATGTTATCAATTGGACCAATTTGAGACAAAATAAAAAATTCAAAGTTAAAATCGATTCAATTGAAATTACAAAAACTAAAATGACACAACAGCCAAAATAGAGAGACTAATAGTGTAATTTGCCCTAATTGTTAACATTTTTTTAATGACAAATAAGCATATAAATGACATATGCCATTCTTTTAGAGGCAAAATAATAAATTTGCTCAAGTCAGTGAGTTAATCTGAACAAATTCAGCAATCATTTTCATCAAAAACACTAACGATATTATTAATTGGACCAAATTGACACAAAATTAAAAATTAAAATTGATATAATTAAAAATATAATGATCAAAAATAATATTTACTTATTTATTTAAAATGTGAACAAATTTTACTATACATGCTCCACTTCATTACTCCACCTTTGTTTTTTTTTTTTTTTTTTTTTTTTTTTAACCTATATAAAAAAGCATGTAACAGTGATATAACGGTGCTGCTTGCAGTGATGTAACGGTGCTGCTTGTTTCATTTCTAACGCTTTGCAACTGACAAATGGAACCGCTTGACCTCTATTTGCTGGCTCAATGGTTTCTCCAAGAATTCTGAATGTGCTACAAACGAAAGCGGTGAGCTTCAACATGTGGCTGTTCGTCTTCTCTGCCTTCTACCTTGTCTGAAAGAAATTGCACAGATATGTGTACGTATTCCACGTGATTGTAAGAGAAGAGGTAAAATTGATCTCTAAGATGTGGCTATGGTTTTGCCTCAAAATCTGTAGATATAATACGGATTCCAGATTGTGGGAATTGGTTGGACCTCCAGATTGGACAAGCGGTATGTTATCCTCTGTCTCATCCTATCTTCAATGATGTATTTGATTCTGTTTTCTGCCATACATTCATGCTCTTGTTTCATTCATATTTGGTTCCCTTTAAAATTTGCCTACCATGTGTTTGCCAATATGTCTAAACCATAAAAAATTTCATAATAGGGCAAAATGTAATAAATTAGCATTAACCGTAACTGGTAATCGCCACAAGAAAATTCCATTGGTTAGTAATATAGTTATCCGCATTGATCCTCACTACACATCACTTATTATTGGAATTTTTTTGGGGGCTGTTTCTTGCTTTTTTCTGTGGCTTAATTTTGCTGAAGATGTTGTAAGAGTACATTGATATTAATAATAATTTGCCAGCACTGTCTTCAGAAGTTGTGCATCATGTTGTTGAAATCTTGAAGTTTTTCAATACAAGGACTTGTCAGCTTGTTCTTGGTACTGGTGCCTTGCAGGTATTTGTTTTCAGACTGTAATTGATGGATACATGCTTCTTAAGTTGTTAGTTGATGCTAAAACACTGAGATACTCATCAATCCTAGAGAAAGAACACATGTTAACTGTTTTATGAGTATTCAAATCAAACATCCTCTTGTACATAATGTTACTCTACTCCATACTTCTATTTATTTTTGTTCTGTTTTGTGTTGGATTTTTTTTTTTTTTGGTTTATTTTAAAGCAAAAATTATGAATAAGTATGTATATGTTAGTCATGTGTTGTCTGCATGAAACTGCAGGTGGCCGGTTTGAAATCCATTACTTCAAAGCACTTGGCATTGGCAAGTCAGGTTACCAATTCTATGGATGGTATTATTCCTGGTAGGTGACGAGACACAAAAATTCTGCTATTGCCATAGAGTTGTTTCATGTTGTCTTATGTGAATGTTTGTAAATATGCTATCACAATATATTCACTTAACTACTTTTAAGTTTTAACATTAAATATAGTTCGTCCATGTGACAAGTTGCAGATTTTATTTTCTCATTTCCAACTTTTTCTGAATTCTAGTCTTGTAATTGTTAGTTATTTTCAAGTGTCTTGCTATAATCCTATCAAATTTGGACATAGTCATTATGGTAGAACAAGTTTATGGTTGGTTTTGCTTGTCATTGATGGATTTGAAATTGGATATTCTTTCATAGAGTTCTTAATGATTTCTATTTATGGTTGATATTTTCATCTTTCTAGTACTCGCATATACTTGGCCTCAATCCTTTCTTTCTTTTTAGTTATTTTATTTATTTTATTTGAAAATTTTTAAAATGCATCTCAATATTAGAAGAACAATTTAACATCATTCAAGATGCCATGCAATTTTGGCAAAAAAAAAAAAGCCATGCAATTCCCTTCCATGTGAACAATTGTCATGTAACGAGTATTATCGCCTATCATTTGTTAGCTTGGATACTACTACTTACCTTTTTCACCCTGGTGGCCCTTCGAACAACCATCCACACCTTGATTGCCTCTTGAATAAACATCAACATTCTTGGATTGGTTTCCCCTAGAACAAACTTCATGCTAAGGATGGTGCAATAATGGAAATGCTATGATTCAGAATACAATGAATCCTGAAATCATTCAGTCAGTTATAGTTTTGTGCCTAGAAAGCAAAATAATAATGATCTCATTTGAGCTGCTCCCCCCTCGTTTGCTTGGGGATGGTATCATGAATCTTTTGTGTCATTTTTTAGTTGTCACTCTGCATATTCTCCTATCTTTTATCCTTTTACTTGATGTAGGCTATATACATGTTAATTAAAAAGTCAAAATATAGTGCACATAGAAACTGTGTTCTACATGTATGATTTGTAATTACTAAATTTCCTATATAGTTTGCTGACATTTTGTTTTTGCATGTGGAACTGAGAAATCAGGAGGATTCTCTTTATGAAAGTACCTGAGACACGAAAGGCATTGCTACTGTCTGAGATTGATCGAGTAGCTCTGGTAAAATAACTTGCTACTTATATATATATATATATATGTTCGAGTGACATCTGTTCCTGCATAACTTAAATATTATATTATTTGGAGCTGCACATGAATTGAGCAATTGATAAAAAGTTCATATGTAACTTGCTTATGAGCTTGTTCAAGGTTCTTTCCCTTTCAATAAAGGACATTTTTTTGGAAGGAATACACTATATATTGCTTTAGCCACAATAAAAGTAATGATAAGAAAAACGATGCAACTACAAGTTGAATGTCTTATGCTTCTGCTGGCATTAGCATTGGGCTTTAATTTTTTTTTTTTTTTGAGCCATTTATAATATGAGCGTCATGTTTTTGACAGTGAATGACAAATACTGTAATTTTTTAGTGCTTCACTTCATACAAGGGATCTCACAGTTTTTATTCTTTTGAACTTCTAGGATTATAAAATCCACAGAGATGAGATACATGCAAAACTGGTTCAAATAATGAGAGAAAGGTTATTTGTTCATTTGCAGAAGTTGGCTATTTTCAACGTGTCTTAACTTCCTTCATTTTGTTTTGTGAGTTGTTATTAACTTCAAATTGAAACTTCTTGAATTTTTTCCCCTACATATTGCCAGCATTAGGGGGTGTAATTGCCATTGATTTGTTTCGATATTGCAATATTTGAAGCAAATTTTTTGCCTTGGAGACCCCTGTTAAAAGTGTACCAATAGAGTAAAAATTCGCTCACTGAAATTATTGATGTAAATATTTTGTCTAACATCGTTGATTTGAAGATAAATCAATGAACCTCTGATATTCTTTTAATTTGTAAATGTTAAAAGATAAATCAGCATTAGGGGGTGTAATCGCCATGTAAATATTTTGTAAAAATTCCCATCTCACATATTTTTAGTTTCTGGTTTGCCTACTCTTTATTTACAATGTGATGCAGCACAGTTGGCAACTAGCACAAATTAATTAGTTATTTAGGAAGTATTTCTGTCCTAGGGCAATTCATCATTACATTTGCTGGAACTGTAGGCCAAGAATGGTTTTACAGAGCAATTAGTAACACTATTAAACTCTTTAGGGTAGACTAGGGGCTGATTTTTAGGATTTGATTTTTTTTTTTTGACCATGCCTGGTACTTCTTTGGCCTAAGAAGAACTGAAGAACCACTGTAGTGCTGGAATTGTTCCTTCACATTTCACAGCGAATGTAGACTGAATATGTTGTTCTGTTTTCAATTAATTGTTTTGAATTAAGGCATACATAAGCTATGCGTTTCCCAGTCAAACTTCTGGAACTAGTTGATTTGAGCTTTTTAGAATTGTTCCCTTAGAAGATGAATTTAAGATCCTACATATTGTTATAACTCTTCGTAAATCAATTTCTCTCTCTCTTACGTGTGTGTGCATGCCGTGGTGTGGCAATGATGGGAGACATCCTGGAAGATCCAGCAAAGGAGCCAAACAAGGATATGTACATGATGACTATTGAGCCAGAAGATGCACCCAACCAACCTGAGTAAGTTTGCTTGTTTGATGTGCATTTCAATTCCTTTAATTTAGTCAAATCTTGATTAGATAACCAGTAGTATTTCAAGAGGTTATATTTTATCTTAAGAATTATTGATGTTCGGTTACTAAACCTAAACTTGATTGGACTTCACAATTTGGTAGGGTTGCTGATTTCGTGGTGGCAAATTCAGATCCTTTCAGAAGTCAAAAGAAATCTGAATTCTGAATCTTATGTATGATGTTGCATTGCTTACTGAAACTTTAGAAAAATAAAAATTCATGGAAGCAAACTGAACTAGTTGTCGTTGTCTAATTACTCTTATCTCAACTTAATTTTTATTCTTGAAACTGGCTTCTCTTCAGATAACACAACAACACATCATGAATTTTAATTCCTGGTTTTAAATTTTTATCTCTGGGACATCACATCTTGCACCTGCAGTAGGCTTATTTGTTGGTTTTCCATTATGCTGGTGATGTCAATATAATGAATAATATTAGTAATTTATATGTTGGTTGATTCTAATTTTTTTTCTTGCCTGATCATTGACCTTGGTTTTTAGACAAAAATGTTTGAGAGTTCTAAAATAAGGGCTCTAAAGGAACTCTTAGGTAAGACTCACCAATTGATACGATGTCTCTACGGTTTTAAAGTCGTCACCATATATCATAAATATCCATTCAATGAGTAGGAAAAGTAGTTAAGCCTTTCCGTTAGGTATGCAATGAATCCATATCATCTCTCAAATGGTTACTCTGCACTGTTTTTTTCTTAATTGCTATATCTTTTGGTTTTACACACAGTACATTGTTTTCTTCTCCCATAATAGTGACCGTAGTTCCTTTAATGAAATATAAGGCATTACTCGGGCTTGTAGCTGTTAGAATTTTCTTTCTTCTTCTTCTAAGAAGTTTTAATTTTAGTTTTTAAAATCTCTTTACCCTTGGTGGTTTCTAACAGCTTTCTTGTTGCAGAGATTTTTGATGGTGAAGCCTTGTCCAAAGGAGAAGAATTGTGATGTAGAGGTGTGGATCAAGTTTGTTTTGTCGTTCAGCTTTGTACTGTTTTTCCTGTCGCTTTTATCATTATAAATGCAATTGTAATTGCAGCTACTGTTATTACTATACTGTGTCATGCACTGATGCATTATGCAAATTTGAAATTTATTTTTAGTAGAGGGATGAAGCTAAGGAGATTTGATATTTTAAAATTTATTAATTTTGATATTTTCACTTCCATCTATCATAAATTTCACTGCATCCTTTTCACATCTAATTAGTTGGATGTAAATTTGTTGTTTGTTTTGTAAAGAAAATGTTGCATATGATATTGATTGAGAGCAATTATTTGTTTTGTAGGGTAAATGTTGTTTAAGATATTGATTGAGAACATCTGAGAGTTCTTATTATTAGTGGCATTTATTTGTATGATAATCTGTACATGATGACACCATTGTCATAGATTTGGCATCTAAAGCTCCACTAGCTTCTTCGTATTGATTATTAGTCCCTTACCCGTGATCCTAGAATATTTGAGATCTGGCCATGGACTGTTGAAAAATTATGTTATATTAACAAGATAGTTCTAGGAGGTCACATTGCATATGCTCATTTGCTTTATGTACTGTAACATTGTATATTTTTATTCTGGAATCAATTTTACATTTTTATTTATTCCCATTGGTTGAAGGACCAATTGTTTTACTTTCCTTTTCCTCAACATTGTATATCACCCATGAACTTCATGCCTTGTTTGTGGAGACAAATAACATTCCATTATTTTTCACTTGTACTCTATATGCAGTTCATGTATAAGGAGATCATCTTATGACTATTTGTTTGCCATCCTTGATTGTAGATCAATGTGTACAAACTTTCCTATTTTTGGAATAACAATGATAGAGTTCGAGAAGCGCTCCATATCCGAAAGGTACATTAGAAATTATTTCTTTAGAATCAAATTTTTAAATAGCTGTATTAAAAGAAGAATTCTTATTAGTTGCAATATAACAGTATTGAGTGGATTGAGCAAAACGTATTTGAAATTCAGAGATTTGGTAACTTAAAAACATGCCATAGTTGAAGGGAGTTTACTATAATTTTTTCCTTTTTAAAATATCATTAACTGCAAAAATTAAAAAGAAAGTGTTTTGTAGTAGTCTACCTGTCGTATCATTATGAACCAATGGTATCGGTTATAATTGATACGTATTTTGAATTGGTTAATACATGCTTGTCTATATTTAAACCTTGGACCGTTATGTTCTTTGAACTGTCACCTCAAAATTTAAAAAATTTGTCTTTTACTTTGAACACCGACCTTAATCTCAATTCTATCATTATCTCTAACATTTGAAACCCTAATCCTAGCACTTACTTTCACTTTTGGCAGTCCCCCCCCCCAACACATTTTTTGCCCCTCCTCAACCCGTCCAAACCAACCCTGCTAGCCCTAATTTGAACACCATCCTTAAATCTCAATTCTACTATCATTCTTAACATTTGAAACCCAAATCCTTAGCCTCTACCTTCAATTTCTATAGCCCATTCTCTATCTTCCCGCTACCTATTAACCCATCTCCATCCAACCCACCAGTTCTCAATACCTATAAGCTAAATGCCATATATATATATATATATATATGTAGTTGTTTCTTGTTTATTCTTAGACTATTACAATGTTGGACAAGTGAGGATGCAAAGTGAGTACACATAATGACAAGTTTAACCATCATTAATTACCTGTGAACTATGAAGATGAACTTGTTCTTCAAAGGTTTTTGATTTCAATTACTCTTTTGTTCATTAATGCATGACTTCCTTGCAAGAATTCTTCATGCATAATCATCAATTGCTCCGTGACCTGTTTGAGATATTAATAGCTCATGAG